CCGAGTGCACAAATTTTTGTGCACCGGGCCTCTAGTAATAATAATAAATGCATAACCATACAAACTCTCCAAAAATATGTCTTTTTGAAAAAACTCGGTTGATACAAAAGAGGTAAAGGGAAAATACCAGTCAAATTCTTCTTCATGTCCCTCCCCCAGTTTACCCAGGAAGGTGCAAGCTGAGAGCACCCACCTCGCACCGTCCCAGGGCTCTCAGGGTCCCGGGCACGTTGCTCTGTGGGCTGCCACTCCAACTCTCCATGAGAGGCAAACAGTGAGGGGTGAGGGCTGCTAGCAGGAAGCAAGTGGCCCTTATCATTCCATCTGCAGCTAAAAAAAAATTCACTGATGCCACTGACTCTGCATTTATAATGATGCAGACAGCAAAGGAGGCCCCTCTGACCAGAAAGGTAATAAAAGTTGATGTTATTTAAAAGAGCCACAGTCCTGGTTAAAAAGGCAACTCTAGGATGACATCCGAAGGAAGGAGAAAACAGACTGCAGCCTCTTTGAATTTGCAACAGCATGGAAAAGGGATTGTGGGCACAGGTGAACATCTGCCCCGCCTTTGAGGACAGCAAGTTCCAAAACCTTAGCGATGAGACCATTGCCAAAAACCTGGCGGGTTATGCAGGAAAGAAGGAATTCTCTGCAGACAATCCCGAAGAGAGCCCCCGAGAAAGGAAAAGGTCACCACCTGAGAAATACTAATGTGCTTGTACAGGGTGGACAACGTGGGGTTTACAGTTGTGAGTACAGCAAACAGAGTCTATTCTTGTATTATTGTTTATTAATTATTGTGCTATTTATTTGCATGACAACTGTAAACCTATTTTGCCCCACCCTGTGTATAATGGGAGCTCTCTGCCAAGCTCAAATGCAAACTTTAGGAGAAAGATAAATAACAATGAAACTAGGAATGAACTTGAGCCTGGCTGGCATGGCTCAGTGATTGAGTGTCGATCTATGAACCAGGAGGTCACGGTTCGATTCCCAGTCAGGGCACATGCCCGGGTTGCAGGCTTGATCCCCGATCATGCAGAAGGCAGCCAATTAATGATTCTCTCTCATCGTTGATATTTCTATCTCTCTCTCCCTCTCTCTTCCTCTCTGAAATCAATAATTGAAATCAGTAAAATATATATATATATATTTAAAAAACAAAACAAAAAACTAGGAGAGAACTTGAAAAAGTATCTATGAAGGGTACAGTTAGCAGAAGCTCAAAATGCCAGAGACAATAAAATAAGGCAGTGTTGGCTGTGTTCAAAGCCAAAAGAAATCAACAAGAGGACAGCATGACAGACTGGGGGGAGGAAGCGTAAGGTTCACAGAACAGTGAAGCAGGAGCCCAACTCGAGGTAGAAGCAGTGTTTCTCTCTCAAAGCAAAGAAAGCGGCCTCCACAGTGCTCAGGGCTGAGTAGGAGCATGAAGGGGAGGGGGGGGACTCCCACTTTCAAGGATTTCCAAGTCTCCACTTGGATGACTCACCCCAGGCACTGAAGGAAGGAACGGACAGGCCCCCTTTTGACTCCATGAGGATGCAGATGGCATTCCGTGCCCACAACAACAATTTCCTCTACACCCGGATAGTGTGTGACAGGTATGTACTGCTTTCTTGTTTAGTACCTTTGCTGGGACCCTCAACAATCTTGGGAGATACAAAAGGCTGCTACCACTGCCCTCGTCACACACTGACGCTCAGGGCCTAAGTGACCTGCCAAAGTCACACAGCCCCCGGGACAACACAGCTCTGGACCCAGCAATGTGACTCTGGCCTAGTGTTCTCGTCACCAACCCGTGGACCTTTCCACTGAAGCTTCAGCAGAGCAACCAACAGCATTCAAGCCATGGGATATTAATGACATCAGTATCACGTGCAAGATGAATATATAAACCAGCAAGTGCCGGTCAAACATCTACCTAACTGCCCGACAGCTCTGGCTGTTCAATCCTCAGATCCCAGTGAGACCTCAGACCCGCCCAGGAGGGCGCTACAGAGGACCGGAGGCTCCCTGGCATTGAGGAACTTGCCTGGGGTCACCAGCGGCTGGTGCAGCAAAGTGTTCAAAGTATTGGACTCTGTGGGATCAGGGTGCTTCAAAAATCTGAAACAGAGTTATTTTATTCATCTTAATTAAAAAACATACCACCACTACTTACTTTTAAGGAGCTCAGTGATGTAGCAAATTGATTTTTTTTTAAAGCACTGGCTTTTACAAGACTGAAAATATAATCTTGCTGAATATTTAAAAATCCCTCACCAATTGAAATGTTCACCCTCTAAGAAACCTAAGTCTGCTACACAAAATTAGCCAAAATTGAGGACAGGTGAAATTTCATAACAGAACATGTTGACTACTTTATTTGCCTGCTCAGTGTGTCCCCCAAGAACATTCTTTGTAGGGAGCATTAACAAGCACCGTACAATTGCATAGGAACGTGCTCAAGACTTGATGCTCTTCTCCTACCTGCTCTTTTACTGTGTTAACACAGGTCCCAGAGTAACACCTACCACCTTCCATTCCCCCAAGCTTCCAAAGAATGACAGAGCTGGGATTTAAGGGAGTTAAAGCTATACCTGTCCACAAACAACTGAGCATACCAGCTCCTCAAATCTGCCTCGGGTCCCCTCTTTAGATCAGAAGGAGAAAATCCGAATGCCTCTGGTGGCCAGGCAGGTAATGCCAAGGAGCAGGGCAGGTAATGCGTGTGTGTCTATGGCATGAGCAGAACTCAGGTAGGTGCAGGGGGCACTGGAGGGGACAGCAGCTACTTGGTTGAAGAGAAATGGCAAGATCAACATTTTATGTATCAGCATTAAATGTTAGTCCAAGTTTGCTTGTTGTAAGAGCACCACCTGGGTCAAACAGGTCACCAGCTCTCACCCTTCGTGAATGCATTGTTGGCATCATCTTTTGCACAGTACTGGCTTGGTAGCTAAATTCTGCAGGGTTATTTTCATAAGTGTGACATCGCCCTGGAGAGAGCGAGGCCGAGGTCTCATTAACACCTTCAATACCAAGGGTGCCTCTCTTTCAGGCAGCCTAGATGGGCTTGTGGACTGACCCCAGGCAAGGGAGAGCTGCTCGCTTAGCAGCAAAAGGTGCTTTTCCTCCCAGGTGCCGAGAGAGCAAACTTCATTTCTTTCCTGTGGCAAGTACGCCCTGAGCAGTTGCTTACCCGTTTGTCAATGTCATTGTGTTGGAGCTGCACAAAGCGAGCGCTGATGGCTGCGATGTAGCTCTGCTGATTGGAGAACGCCACGCGGCCAGCACCTTTGGGGTACTTCAGCTCTGGGTCCGTATCAATGCCAGCATAGCAGACACCACCATACAAACGGTCCATGATCATTGCCAGTTCAACTGCAAGAAAATGAACACAATTCTGTATAAATGTTTAGAAGGAACTCCTGACGAGGAGCAGGAAGAACTATTTAAGAATCGTGCAGTGTAACTAAGAAAAGGAAAACCCATGTGAAGTATTGTGAAGAGTCTCCACATCAGTCTTACAACCTCAAGTAGGGGAGATCCTCATAGGCTATTTGAAAGTAAAAAAAATAAAAGAATTTACACACACGCACACACGCACACACACACACACACACACACACACACACACATGAATTTACATAATCAGAACTTCAGCAACAGGATTAAAGGAATGATCTATCAGTAATCCTCTTGTTCTAACTGCTTAGTCTACTGGAGTGAGCCCTAGGTAGGCAAAGCATCTCACGATGCCCTAACAAGTTATTAAGAGACAGCCCTACTTACTGACCTCTGAGACTGAAAGCCATTACTAAAGTTACACTGCTACGGTTAAGATTAAACTGTAGAAAGAATGAAGTCATAATTTTAGCTAGAGGCAATATGTTTACAGCCTTAAAGTAAATCTCTACACTTGAAAAAAATGACTTTTAGAGTATATTTTATCCCAACGGAGAAACCTCCAGACTAGCCTCTCACAGGAAATTCTTAGTAATACTAACAGCAGCAATGAACATTTATTGAGCACTTACAATGTGCCAGGAAACACTAAGCTGCTACTAAGGCAGTAAAAACATACCCATCCTGCACCTGCTAAAAATCCAGAGGTTTAGTCTGCAGTCCTTGTCACATTTCTCCTATAGATATCTTTGTATTTGTATATTTAAGATATATATACAGAAAACATTTGGAAAGTGATCCATTCCAAAGGTGTGATATTCTAAAATTATCTCACCAAAAAGGTACCATGGAGAGAAATGTAGCAGTTACTTACCTGGATTCAAATTGCCTGAAGGTAATTGTTTACTTGATACTGGACAGCACTTCCTCCAGGTATGACCATTCCTTTCAGGCAACTCACATAGTTTAAGTCCAAAATACTTAGCCCTAACCCTGGGGAATGACTCACGAACCCACTTCCTACAAACACCGACATATGGTGTTTGGAAAGGAAAAGACAGTGAGGAAAGATGATGACCTGGCCACCGCCAGTGGGCAAAGTCCATCTCAGAGCAGAGCCCCACTGGAATCGGGATCTTGGGGGAAGAAAAGCAGCACAGCCTGGTGGGGCAGAGGAAGAAATCTGCAGCAGATACAAGGGCCAAAAGGTACAAGAACCCCACCAGGATTTTACAAGCAGAAGGAAGGCCAAGTACTACCGGATTCCTGTACTATGAAGCTGCTGAGGCAGGTAAGAAAAGCTATGTCGCCATGACAGAAAGGCTGTCTTTTTTCTTTCTCTTTTAAAATATTTTTATTGATTTCAGAGAGGAAGGGAGAGGAAGAGAGACATAGAAACATCAATGATGAGAGACAATCATTGATTGGCTGCCTCTGCATGCCCCACACTGGGGATCGAGCCTGCAACCTGGGAATATGGCCTAACCGGGAATCGAACCATGACCTCCTGGTCCATAGGTTGACGCTCAACCACTGAGACACACCAAATGGGCCTGTTTTTTTTCTTAACTTCGAAATTTCTTCCCATTCTAGAGTGCCTAATATTGGTGATTTTTCTAAGTGCCCATTTTTAATAGGAAGAGTGACCTACAACCAACAGGTAATTTTCAGAAGGTGAGGAAAGAAGCTAGCAATCACTAAGTCCAAGAATATGTGCTTAGTGCAGAAAGCCATCCCAATGATCCCATTATGATCAGAATGACTGAGTCACACCAGCCAAGGGAACACTGCTGATTAGCACTTAAGTAGACCTTGACTACAGTCTTGAGGCAGGACCCAGGAATCACACTCAAACAATGCCATCATGATGGTGCACACACTCTGAATGTCAGAGTTCAGTGAGTCCTTACACTTCACCCCAACAACCTCTGATGGCTTGAGGGCCTCCTTACCTAACTAATGTTATTCCAGTTACAGACACGAAGAAACTGAAGGCAGAATTCATTCATTGTAGTCATTCATGAATTTCCCTAAAGGTCAAATGGACTTAATAAAAATAAGTAACCTCAAGGCCTGGAAATTAAGCACAAATTTTCCAAAGACCTGGCTTCCTCTGGAATGGAATAAGATAGTAAACACCCCCTCAGGCTGGTGGATGACCAGGAGAAGAATGCTGGCAAGGACCGAATGGCACTTGTCTTCCACCTTCGGAAGCACTCGAGAAAGTGTCTGATTTAGAAAGAAGGTACACTGGCTGCATGCCTGCAGCTCCAGCTGACGCGGGAGTTACTTAGCCACAGCTGCTTCTATAGCATAGTGGTCTCCAAAGGAATCTGGGGGGCTCCCGGATGCCAGAGAAGGCTCCTTCCACGAGCAGACACTTTCCACTGCCTCGCAGATGTAGCTGCTGGAAAATCATCTTCACGTGCCAAAGATTAGGTCATGACTTATGTTGCTGGCAGTTAGGTACTTTTGATAAGAAACAGAAACCCTCACTCACTATGCTTTTATGAAAATTATGAATAAATCATTTCCACGTATAAGCTGATTATACACAGTCATTTTCTTGGCCACCAAAAAGTCTGCAGACGTTTGAGCCAGTGAAGCCTCACTTAAGGGAAGAGCAATTCGTTGAGAAGCTAGAAGCAACCAATGTCACTAAAGAAAGAACTTTTGGGGGAAAGAATATGAAGATTTTCCATCTCTCTTTCTACCCGAATCTCTCTTTTAATGACAAAACATCTAACACGGTGAACACTCCTGAAGAAAGGTAAATGATGGTTAAAGAACTATTGTTTGTGTTTGGTGCTTTACTCAATTAGCAAGTCTTCACTAATAGCACACTTCCTGTGGGCTAAGCTCAAACACCACAGAGATATGGCATTTAAGTAACTCTGCTAGTGCTTAAAGTGACATTACTGAGAAAAGTAACCACTTGGTAAATACAGCTTTAGGGGGAGAATGTCATTGAATTTACCCACTAAGTAGATGACTAACAGGAACGCAGAGCAAGCCTTCCTCAAGGCCTATTAAGTTTTCAACCAGAAATAATTTTTTTATAAAGAAAGTACCAGTTCACCTACAGATGTCAGAATGTACAACTACTTTTAGAGCCTGGGTTTTACAGGCTTCTTTACAGTGAGTATCATCAGTCCACGTAGGGAAGTCCCATATAAATTCCCTTCCTCTGATGGGGGCAAGCTGAACCAGGAAGAGGGATCCAGTACTTGGGGGGAGGAGAGAAAAGTAGAAGAAAGGCAGAAAGGATGTGGCAGAAGTCAACTAAAACCTGCATGGGTCTATCGATGTCTTGTGATCTCAACCCTGCTCATGAAATGCGAGCCTTTGATGGAAGGTGTAACTTACTTGGAGAGTGTGGGCAAACCACCTACTAAGCCTGTGACAGTGACTCCTCATTCTCAACCATCCTCTGTGGAGGCCAAGGACAGTGTGGCTCCCAGAACCACATTCTTTACATTTAACCTGAGGAAGGTGAGGCAATACAGGTAAAGGCTGGGATTCAGACAGATGGAGGTGACAGCAGGCATAGACAGAGTCCATGAAGAAGCCAGGAATCTCCAAACTACTTTTTATGTTTTCTTTCCTATCCAGACAGTGTTCACAGGGTCTGCCTGGTCAGCACAGGGGTAGGAAATTAGCAGGTCTGGTAGCTCTATCCAAGGGCATTCTGCACTTTGGATAAGCTCTGTGTTCCTAAGACACTCAAGTCACGTCATAAATACCTGTTTCATTATAACAGCATCACCACTATGGGTCTAGCTCACACACTGGCTCTTGTGATGACCTTCACTGTGCCATCACCAGAGAGGGAAACGAGAATACTGCAGCTGTATGTAGCATAGAGCATCCTTCTGAAGTCGTTCAGTGGTGACTATGCCTCTGAAGATCAATCTGAACCCCAATTACGGTTCCTTGGATTTGCTCCTGATTCTTCACAGCGTTCTGAAAGGGGTTTTAATTCACCAGAGAGGAAATCATGATGACTCCCTCATCCGACCACAGGGTCCTGTTCCTATCATTTAGTTGGATCTGAAAGCCAGCCATCAGGCAATGTTTAAGTCTCAGGTACTATGAGAACCAAATGTGGAGGAGCAGGAATGAGGCTTCCCAAGGGGGAATATCAACATATTCATCTTTCCAGATTTTAAACTGTGAATCTAGAAGCCACATTTCTTCTCTCTGGACATATGAACAAAGCAGGCGGGAAAGAGGCAGAAGGCACTTCAGGGGGAGGAGGAGGTCTGGACTTCGGAATGAAAGGAAGATCCAACTTGAAGGTGGACTTTCTAGGTTTACAATTGCCAAGTTGGTTCACAAGGCAGTTCACGCACCTTAAATGGGGAGATGTGCTTACAAGCTTTCACTCCGCATCAGATGTTGGGAAATTAAAAATATTTTCAAGTAAATGATATGAACAACCAACAAAGCCAGAGAGATAGAGTGTTTAACTTGATTAAATTGAGCTGGTACCAAGGTAACTGTTACTATTGTTACAGAGACAACATCTCAGACCTCAGCTTGATAAAGAAGCTCACTTCTGTGCAAAGAGCCCCAAACTTGTTGTCTGGAGATCTGAGTTTGAGTCTTGGCTTTTTCGCTTATAGTGGCCTTGGCCGATCACTCCCTCTGAACCCTGCTTCCTTATCTCTACAATGAATTCTATCACTTCCAACGTCACAGGGTTATCACGAGGATTAAACATCCATGAGCGCTCTGAACACACCGCTGAGCACGGAGTGGGGCTTGAATGTTCAGTTTGGTCCAGGGGTGGTTTTGGCCTCGACTCATAAATCTTTGCTTGGCTTGGTTTCTGCTCCATAAGCACCAGTTCTTCCCAGTCTTACTTTGGCTTTATGCTAACGTTCCTCAACCTGCCCATGATATGGCAAAGTTTGACATTGGCTGTGGGGGAGAGAGAACACAAACGCATACTAACATTAGAAAATCCTTAACCCTCAGGGCAATGCAGTCCATCAAGTCTGTATGCCAAATCTGGAGTTTATCTGGGACAACTCGTACTGAACCTGGGACTCAGTAAAAGAAAAAGCTCCTACTACTGAGAAACATGACATAAGATGGTTTCTGCTTACTGCCACCACTTCGTAGAACAACAACAAAAGCTACCGTTACTCCTATTTCCTGAGTCACAAATCAGAATGTGACTCCTGATACATGTGAACTATCAGAGTGCCTGCACAGAATGTCTGAAATAAGTGCTCTTGGAAAAAATTCAGGCTGTATGTCCTCTAGATGTATGTATGCCACATATCACTGAATATCTACCTCAGTTTTTTTTCTTTCCTCTGCAGAAAATTCATGCTCACAACAGTCAGAGGGGGGAAAAGGCAGAGAAGGAAATTTTAGGATTCATCACAGAATATTAGACAGGAGAGAATGATCAAAGCCATAGTTAGGAAAGGCCTAAGGATGAGCAAATGGTAGGTCGGCTCCAAGGACTCAGATGGAATCTCTGAAGATCGAGCTGTTAGCAGGACCTGGACTGGTGAACTGTCATGAGGAAGTCATGAAGGCGAAGAACAGCTCACATGCCTCTCATCAGAGGACACGGAGGGCTTTTCAAGCCTGATCGAAGTTGGAAGGGGCTGGGTCCCAAAGCTTGATCACCGAGGCGATACTCAAATTAGACATCTAAGCCAAGAAGGTGGAGTCAGAGAATATTCATTTTATAAAGTGGGGGAGCGTACAGGGGCCAGATGCCTCATTCCCTACTCTTTCCCGGTAGCCTCATAATCCCCAAGCCTGGCACTTATTTCCTCTCAGAGCAAAGAGATACATTCTAGAGAGGCCCTAAGGCCCTAGGGATATGCAAAACAGGGCCATTTCTGTACTGAGGGAGACTCAGGAAGACCCGCTGCTTACATTACGGGAACGAAGAGTGAAAATACGCTGTGTACTTCCAGGTGGAGAACCAGACAGACTACCTACCCCTTTCCCTGTGCTCACTCTGAAGAAGAATCTGCATTTTAGCCACATGGTGGCATGGTGAGTCTGCCTATCGCCTTCCCTGGCCTGGGGGTGAGAAGAGGTGGGGAGTGGAAGGGGAACAGGAGCTGAGAAACACCAGGAGACTTCAGGCAAGCTGTCCTTGGCTTGCCGCAGACTGAGGGAGGGAGAGGAGACAGTAGGAACGTGTATTATTTGACCCAAAGAAACCAATTGGCAATCTAGCTTTGGGTAAACTCATCTAGATTTTTCCACTGATATTTTCCCATTTTCATTTATCTGGGCCTGTGATTTTTTTTTTACTCCCCCTCTCTCCCCAACCTGAATTTATAAAAAGGAAGGCTTGTTAAATGACCAGAAAGAGCAAGCTAAACTCAGGCTAATACTGCTTAAAACAGGTTACCTTGTTTCTTTAGAAGCGTTTGTGTGTTTCTGTCCGGTGGGGTAAGGACTATATTTATAGTAATTTATTAGTGACAATGATCTTGTCTTAGGGGATATATCAAAGATAAATAGCCTCACAAGATCCAAAGTAATAATTCTTGAGTGATAACATTTTAGTCTCCGTGTTATAGGACCATTTTTGGCCCAGGATGAGGTGAAAATCAATCTGGACACCTAAAATTTCACCTGCTGAGTACTGTCACCCATCTCTGGTCCAGGATCACCCTGCATATAGTACCTGAAACAGGTATGAGACTGTTCAAAATTCCATAACCACAATGCCCTCTGGAAATAATAAAAAATGGCCCGAAGTATTGAAAAACCAAATTTGAGAAACATTATGTTAAAGAGCATAATTTAGCATCCACTTCATTGAGTTACTTAGCATTCTATGAACGCATTTCTCGCCTTCTGTCCTGAAATCGGCGGCTCTGCAGATGATGACCTGTCTAACGGGACAGCGAGACGTTCATTCGGTTTGGCATGGCCTGCACTTGCTCAGTGTCGCTAACAGTGGATGCTCAATAAATGTTATTGTTCAAGTGAACTGCACTTGAACAAGAACACTGTCCAGTTGAAGATGGTCTAGTGAAGTCAAATGAATTCCTTCAAACACAGCCTTCTATTCCAGGCACACACCAGCCCATGAAGCTCAGTGTGTTCCAAGGAAGCCCGATTCTCTGCACATGGGCAAAAGCTGCAGACGTTAGCACTTTTCGTTCAGATTGCATGGCATCCAATCTGGAAGTCTTGGATAGATAGGAACATTCTAAGATGCCAACAAAGATGACTTAGCCATCTAGAAACCATAACTTAGTCAGCTACAGTTATGGGAGGTGCTGGCATGGACGGACACTTCCATCAGACAAAGTGACTGTGGGTTACTAGCCACATAATTGCAAAAATAAAACTGAAAGACAAAAATTTTAGCTTAGCTTAAAAAAAATAACTTAAGAGACTTACAAAGGGGATAGCATCTAGGTGGGGAACACAAAATCCCACTTCTGATGAGAAAATTAAATATAATTCTTGCCTAATTCTAGAACTTGCAACATCTTGCAGACACGGGATATTAAAGAAAGAATATAATCTAGCACCTTGGAGTTCCTGCCCTGTGGTGTCAGTGTGATCTTAGAAAAGTGTGAAAATAGATTTATAAAGGGAAAATCATATAGAAGCCCTTACCTATCCCTTCAAATCATTAAAATAGAGAGAGTAAAGGGTGAATAATAAAAAAGGAAATTTAATTTATAAGCTATTGTGTCAGTGACTTAAAAATAAACATTAGAGGCTAAAGCCGGTTCTGTTATTTTTATAACTGTGGAGCTTTTTCTTTCAGAATTTTTTTTTCAGATTCCCATCTAGGAAAAAAAGAGAGGGGCTAGAATATTAAAACAAATTTGTGCTCGCAGTTAGGTGCAAAAAAGAACAGCTAGAATACTAGCAATGAATGTCCATTTACACTGTTAAAAGACAGCAAAAGGGATTTTTCTCTCACTCCACTCCTAAATCTAACACTAGTTGGAAAAAGTCAGGAATATTCCACAAGGCCCCCACCTACACGTCCTTTTCTAAAGCAGACGCAGCTCAGACACGAAGGGCTGCATCTACCCGCACCTAGTGCTGCTCGGTGGAGTGGCCCCCCCTGGACTTCCTTCTCTGACAGCAGATCATGGAAGGGGTGGGGCAGCTCTGCTGCTTTGCTTTCGTTCTTTCACATAGTTTCCAGGAAAATGAAAGTAAGACCCAAAGGTATTTGACTTTCTGAAATACCACAAAATTGCAAACTCCACAGTCACATGAAGATGTTTTACAATCCTTCAAAATGGAATAATGCATATATTTTTATGCAGGCCCAAAGTTATCACTTAGAACTAGATTGAAATTGAGATTTAAATAAATATATTTAAAATGTTGAGGGATGTTCGGAATTAAGAACTCATCAAAGTCATAGAGCCAGATAGCTGTAGGCACATTTTACATTTCATAATTGTTCTCACAACTTGGTTTTAGTGATCTCTGCTTTCTCTTTTATGTTTTAGGTAGGATCAAGTCTACCGGCTTACAAATCACACAGAGATAATGTGCTTTCACAGCTACGGTGGCAACAGTAACCTATCTTGTCATCTTCCTTTAAAAACACAAACTCAATTATTTTAAACACTTTAAAAACTTAGTTCCTGCAAGTAATTTTGTTATATTCCATTGGCAATAGCACTGATCCACAAATGATGAGACTTGTGTTTGGATTTATATATTGATGTCATCAGCTCAGCATCCCTTCCACTGCCCCAGTCAATTATGACGGCCCAATCCCAGCAGGAACAATGATTCCCTCATCGGGAAATAACAAAAAAATAAAATAAAAATAAAATAGGGAAGCTTTATAAAAAGTCATCATAAAGATGCCTGCATACATAATTCATTTTTCAAGCTGTATAAGGAAAAAAATAGGAACCTGTTTCACTTGGAAAGAGTTCAGTCTGACACCCAGTGGCACAATTTCCAGCCGTGGTTTGACTGTCACTGAGGGCACACGGCTGCTGGGGACATATGGGTAACTTCTCTTTCTGTCATACATTACAATGCTAACTGGCATAAGAATGCACACTGCCACATGTATTGTTACTATTTTTAAACTATGTGGTTGAATAGGAAAGCACTAAATAGAATTCATCCTTTCAAAATAACATTTTAATGAAATTCACTCTTGCACCATCAGGAAATAGAACATTTTGGGAGGAAACATTCAATTTTGAAAGCATCAGCTCAGCGAAACTGACAGGAGAGCATTCTTTTTTTGGAGACTGTGTATAATTGACCGGAAACCTAGAAAATATGGAAGGCTAAATGCATTGGGAATTTTGTTGTTGTTGGATTTTGTTGTTGTGGTGTTACTATTTCCACTCACCAGCTCGAAGGGGTCGTGGAACTCCCCCAACAAAGATAGTTTTTCTGGGGTCCAAAGGCTGAGAACCATCCATTACAAAGTCACTGTCACTTAGGTTCCATGGTCGAATTTGCACCTGAAAAAAAGTTGTTTACTTGGTCCTTACTTCATTTCCATCAACCCCAAATGAGAATAAGGTGACTAAAGACAAACCCACTGATTTGTGCATTTTACAACATACACAACCCAAACAAAAATCCAGTTATTATTTAATGTAATCTGCATTAAGTGCCTTTCGATAGAACTCTTGGGAAATCTACTTGTAGGTACTATACTCAACACTCGAGACATATACCATGAAACCTTCAAAAACCATCTGTGGCTTTAAAAAAAAGCAGTCTTTTAGAGAGAGATTCTGGGTTTTGGATCAGATCCATATTAGCAAAAGACAGTCTATTTATCACCTGTCATAGTACAGCACTTAGCTTTGTAAGAGCTCATCTGAAGGAAGGGAATGGAAACATTAGAAATATTTTTCTAAAACTTATCTGTATGTCTGGCTTTTAAATTCTCATCACCCCCTAAAATTAAAACATAGATCTTTCAGCAATATGATTTCACATGGATTAACACTCATCAAGTTAGCACCGAATTATCAGTAATATCAAATAGTGAAGTTACCTACTTTGGATTTATCTGACTTTTCTAAACAAGTCCGGGTAAATAAAGGCAAGCCTAGAAACTGAAGTAAATTCTCAAAGAGTAGAGAAAAAGGAATCTTCATGACATAGTTCTTTCTATTTGTTATGTCTCTTGACTGGGAAACCAACTTCCTGTCCATTGTTTGTACTGTTTTATCAAATGATAAAAAATAAGGTATTTCATCAGAATCTGAACCTTAAAATATATTCCTTTCCATCCATAACTGAATTATCAAAGAAAAGCTTAAAAAAAAACAAACCCTCCCATACTGAAAGGTGAGTTTCAGCACTGCCTGAAAAAGGACCAGTCACGTGTGTTCCAGGAGGTGGCTAGGTGTAGAAGCAGAGAAAACGGTGTGTCCTTAAGGAACATGCCTCTCCTTCCCTCTCACGGATTAGGACAGGAAACAAAACAGCTGAATTTTCATTTCCTTAGCATCAACAGAATTCTTCATTTCCCGCCGATGCTAGACTGTCAACAGTTAATGCAAGGAAAGGCATAAGAAAATGTCTTATGTGGCTTGGCTTATATCTAGTAGTGCTCCCATTTGAAAGGTAGTAAAATCTGCCAATTACACTTTCAAAACACTTTGAATGTCAACTCTAAAACTGGCACTGCTCAGAAACAGTCTACACATTCCTTATTATTGCTACAAAATTCACCCCCACCTAACTTTTTGCCTTTTATGACCCTGCTCCCTTCACTAGTTAGCCAGGAGCCATAAAGTCTCCATTTTTTTCCTGAAAACTTGGACCTGTTTGTAATTCTGTAAATAGGCCTTGCTCCACCTACATCACGTGGCGGGGGAGGGGGGGGGGAGTTAAAAAATAAATTTTAAAAAAAGCCCAAAAATGCCTTCATGAGCGCCCATTATTAATTTTCAATTAAAACCTCAATTTCCAGACACTGTAATAACAAGAATTCTAATATCACCACCAACAAAAAAAAGTAGGATGCATCCTTTTCTACACAGAGCCGTCTCTTCGTTTAGTCTTATCCCTAATAAAATAGTTAAGGCAGCTTCAGGACCTGTCATTCCAATCACTTTACAATAACTGAGTTTGATCCTCGATCGCTTTGCTTCACAAATGAAAACAATTCCAGTGCAGTACCCATACTGTTCTGGCTTCATTGAATCTGATTACAGAAAACGCAGTCTTCTGTACCAGCTCTAGGTTACTGCTGCTCCAAAGAACTGTGCAGGCCTCACACCTTCTTGCTGAGAGCTTGGTGCCTGCCCGCCTCCTCCCACCCTCACCTCATTATATCACACACGACCCATTCCACTACCCTATTCTTGGCATTATAGCTTAGGTAAAAATACAGGAAGAGGTCTCAGGAGACAGGAATAATTAACCCTATTCATAAAACCCACATCCCCCAGCTGACACTAGAAAGCAGCTTCTCGGAGCTCACACTGCTGCAAAGTCAGAGCGATGTCCGCATAGGCCAGCTTCAGCTCTCTGCACGCCAAGCAAAAGGGAAACGTGTGGTCCTGTTTGCACCCAGACGTTCCATTCGCACTTTGGTATCTCTGAACTGCAAGTCCACTCTCACACAAGGCAATACATTCCCCATCACCAGGGCTTAGTCTCGGGGCCTGATAGCCATGTTTTTTTCCTTTTGGACTTACTCTTTGAATATGTTTTCTGGTCCTTTAATATATTTTCCACCCCCATGTTTCTCTACTTTTTAAATACCATACTTTATAAGCTGACTCAAATATTTTGTAGAAAGGGGTAAAACATAAATGAGAGAACAGCTTTTTCATAACCTTCGTTTCCTTAATAATTAGTTTTGAGAATGGATAAAATTAGAATTCTGTCCTAATTCAATATACATTTAACACCGCAACGTAAGTTTTACATAATCAGGGGTGTGTGTGTGTGTGTGTGTGTGTGGTCAAATAGGCTATTGCAGGCTATACTCTGGGCAGGAAAAGCCTCAACATTCAGAGGACAAACATACGGATGTCACTAGAAATGGTGGTTTCTCATAAATGAGCTGACACTGATTCTAAAACCAATTCTCCTTCCTGGAGAAACTTGCTTATAAAGGGGACTCTGGGAAGATGCACCACCCACCAGCTCTTCAGCGTGCCATGCCCTTACAGCAGGGGTTACACAAAACCAATGTCTGCAGGGCCTCGCAGGTAGCATAACTGTGTCAAGCCACCAGGCAATGTAGGAAGTCAGTGACACACTGGATAAATCACTCCCTTTAAAAAATTTCTTTTCATTTTTTAAAAAATCACTCCTTTTAAAGAAAGCAGGCACTTCTCAGCTCCAGCAAGTAGTTATAATTTGCAAATGTGCTGTCAGACTTCCCCATTTGTCAAGAGTAGCTAGATTTTTATGTGAAACTTCAAGATTTTAAAATGTTGGGAACTAATTCAAATGTTCAAATCACTGTGTAGGCTAAACCCAATGATCTGCAGGCCAGTCTATGCTGTGGCTGGAAAGGCTTAGTTACCACACAGCTCACAATGGAAAGCTGTGTTCCATAAGCACTTCGGAGAGACAATACAAAACGGCTTTCCTTTAGGTTTTTTTAAAGCATGTATAATAAACTTGAATAATAGATTGCTGTTCAAAGAATTGAGAGTTTTCTGACTAAACTACACAAAAGAGATGTTACCAAATCAGTTTGGCTATTTTTTCTAGAAAAATACCTAATAGAATAAAATACCTAACTATCGTTCTATATAGAAACTAAAGTTTCATCCTAGTTATGCAACTAAAAGTCATTATTCATAAGGGTAAGATTAGGCCACGTGCTAATCTTAGGCAGAGAAAAAAATTAAGAAATGCAATATGGGTCACTTATTTTGACAGGAAGCATAACATCATTTCCCCAAAAGAAAACTTTATTGAAGATTTCAAAAGTCTTTATGTTATAATTAAATACAAAATGCATTTTATTGTAACTTTAATAACAGGATATGAGTTTTAGAAAGACCAGTTTTTGTTTTTTATTTTATTATTATTTTTTAAACCTCACCTGAGGAAATTTTTTAAATTGATTTTTTAGAGAGAGACAGAAACATCAGTTGGTTGCCTCCTGTCAAACCCACAAGCTAGCTATGTGTCCTGACCAGGCATCGAACCCTAAACCTTTTGGTGTACAGGATGACGTTCTAGCCAACTGAGCCACCCGGCCAGGGCAGTAAGAATACTTTTTAATACAAACCTTAGGGCTACAAGTTTCTGAACATGACTAGGCCTCCCTATAGCTCTAGAATTCTCTCAGTTTAGACCACTATTTAGAATTTAGATATTCATCTACCAATAAATAATGTTCTCTTGAGCTCATTTTGAATGTCTTGCCCTATCTTTCATCCTTGTCTGGCCATCTCCTTAGACTAAAAACAGCAGTCACATGAACATCCTATGCTCAGTGCCTCCTTTTCATCTGCTCATCGCAAGGCCGCTTCAAAAAGCAACCAAACTGTTCAGAGTCCACAGTGCAATCCCGTGGCTGGCTCGGGGAAACTACCCAACCCCCAAACAGCCTCACTGCCCTGTGTTGTTTCCCATAAAGCACAGGGCTTAAGACCCCACCCCCAGTTTCCTCTGTCCTTTTTTCAATACCCTTCAAACTCCTGCTCAAGCTCTTCAGGAAAAAGTCTCCATTTTTCGCTGCCTAATCCTACAATCCTTTCAATCTACGTGAGTCAGAAAAACAATACTGCAGAACTATCAGGATTGCTCTCCCCAGCAAGCCTCAGCATCCCGGCTCTTCTGACAACCAGGATGAGTCAGCTAAACCCAGGTCCGCTGACATACAGCTGCAATGGCTCAGCTGTAGTGGTAATGAACTCAGACCCACTCCAGTTGTCAGCAATCCTATTTTAAGCACCAGAGGCCTCACAGGATGACTGGAGTGCCCCACAAATAAACTAGAGTGTGGTTTGTGAGGCATCTTTCTCCCTTCCACGGCATAAGGGGTTGTTTTATTAATACTGACCACCAAAACTAGCAGCCACACAGCAATAACTGTGGTTTGGACTCTTCAAAGTACATTTATATTTGATATCTCATTTCAACCTAATGTGTGCCACATGGCTCCCTAACAAAAAGGTCAGCCAGTTTCCAGGAGTTTAGATGGTGCCTATTATTCCCCAAGTGCTGCCCTCCAACCAATGGAGAAGAGAAGGAGAGGCCTTCCCTGTATCTCCTGGGGGATGCGGCCAGAAAGGAACCCGAGAGCTGATCAGAGTCACTGGCCTCGACAAGATTATGTACCTTGGGCAGCTCTGGGGCCTCCAGTCAGAACTCCATCGGGCTTTAAAGCATAAAGCCATGAGTCTTACACTCAGGCCATTCCTCCCTTTCCTTAGATAAAAGTACAGTCATGCGTTGCTCAATGACAGGGGCATGTTCTGAGCACTGTGTTGTGAGGCCATTTCGTCGTTGTGTGAACATCACAGAGTGC